TATATATATATATTTTAAATAGATAATTTACTAAAAATTATTTTGACACCTAATGGTACTCCATACATACCCAGGTCCAAAATGGTTAATGGTTAAATGGTTAAAATGGTTGTATGTTAAAAAAAATCATTGTAAAAAAATCTGGAGACCAAATGATGTGTAATTTGAGAGTGTCTCTTGATGTGTATATTTTTATGTATCTCCTCAAACAGTCAAAACAGACCCGAATGAGGGTTAACCCATGTTGTGCTTGCCATGGCTGCAATAGTTGCTCATTTGCACTGCTATGGTAGATTGCGTTGGTCATTATGGATATGATCTGGCTGTGTCTGTGTTCTTTAATGTGAGTATTGCCCGTAGGACAGCTGCAGATCTTCCCACTCCCATCAGTGCTTTTATCGAATTGCGCTCTCACGCTAATTTGCCATATTTAGTAATTCGGGCCCTAAAGATCCCCTACTTTATGATACGTGCATCTTAAGAAGGTTAACATGCACAGATTAGTTAAACAAAAGATTCTTATGTACCCAGTTGGAATTATGAGTTAAATATTTGTGCATGCGAAAAGTGCAATAACAGCGAGAAGCTTCCTAGTCCTGTTGGAAAAAGATAAACAACTTAGCATGGAGCAACTGTGCGTTTGCCTTTCTAACATACGGAAAAACATGGCTTTATCTTGTGAAAACATAACTAGACATCTGAATGGGAATAATTTGCAAAGATCACTGGGTGAGAGAATTCCTGCACTGTGTATGCGAACAAGGTATTATTGAATCTGATTGTAGATACAGGTATTTGCATGGCATTTGCTCCTGTTTGGTGAATTATTCAAGACTTGCACTTCTTCTTTCAGTCTGATCATTTTTATTCCCTCAAGGTGTTTACATGATGACTTTTCATTCCAGATGAGCTATCATTCTGATTGGATTATTAGGCTGCATGTAAACGTGGTTAGTGTGATGGAAAATGTGGCTCCACCTCCTAATTAACAGTCTGATCTTCTTCTTCATAGTCGAGAGGAATGGACCTGGTGGAGATTCTTTCCTTTTTGTTCCAGCTGAGTTTTTCCACTCTTGGTAAGGTGAGTGCTGCTTTTCCAATGTCAAGAGTAACATACGAGTCATAGATAAAAGCCATTACTTATCATAATTAAATTAAAGAAGTCATTTTGCCATAGTCCCATGAAGTAGGTTGGCTCACTTGCTTATTAAAATGTTTTGTTTTGTAGTGTGATTGTTGTTTTTCTTGCAGGATTATTCTGTGGAGGGCATGAGTGAGTCTCTGCTCACATTTTTGCAACATTTACGAGAGTTGGGTCTGGTTTTCCAAAGAAAGGTCAGTCATCACGTAAAAGTACTGAATAGCAGTCAAACTATAATAATATATAGATAATAATAAATATGTTTATTTACACACACACA